AATTTCTAGCACCAGTGCTCATATATATTTACGGCAGCAGTGATGCCGCCCGCGCCAAGTCGAAACCACGTTCATGCTCCTATTTACTTTCTCATCCGATAAGCTCTAACACTGTGCTCCAAAGTTGTATTATACAGGGTTTCAACACTCACTTTTTTCAATTCACAAAAACAAAAAAAAAACAACAACAGAACTACTAGCACCTTCAGCATTCGTTAGCTAAACAGGCCTTTGAAAAACTATTGTAAACACGAAAAACAAGGATGTGAGGAAGATGCCGCTCTTGTTTTATCTACTTAAGAAGTGACGATAATTGCCTGTGTGGAAATAAATAGCGGCGCGCACTAGGGTAATTGAAGCGATCATGCGTTTTGTGCAGTTCCATTCGTAGACACTTGCTCTTAAAAATGTTCACTGCCTGATATGTGCAGAAATTGTCAGAATGTTTTGCTCCGCCGAAAATTTTTTGTCTCCATATAAGACTCAGACATACGCAAGGGCTAAATCTAAAATTTTCGGAGCCACGCAGGAGCCGGAAGCACTCTCTCGAAATTTCAACTTTCTCTCTTGTTTGGTCCCGCAGTAAAATTTTAAAAACCTCAAGTGTCCGCACATTAAATTTTAGCGAAATTAGAAACCGAATTTAAAATTCCAGACCGCACATGGACGCAGAACATCCTCCTAAAATTCCTGTTTCCTAATTTTTGCAGCTTCCAAGTCAGTAATTTTCGTGCCAAAACTTCCACATGTCCATAAGTGAGACCCAGATGTACGTGGAAACTGAAATCAAATTTTTTGGGTCGCAGACGGGTATGGAATATCCTCCTAAAATTTCAGCTTTCTAACTTAAATAGCTCCCGAGTTAGTGTCTTCCCCGCCAAACTTCCTCGTGTTCCTATATGAGATTTGAACGTAGTGGAGACTAAATTTAAAGTCTCTAAGTTGCATGTGGAGAATATCGTCCTGGAAGTTCAGCTTCCTAGCTTTCTGGCTCCTAATTTCGAAATCCTGGACAAAACGAACCCTGGATATACATACACATGCACACGTACGCACATACACACAGGG